TATATATATATATATGTGTGTATTCACGCCTTCACATTTTAATGCATTTTGTCTCACAATGCACAACCCCGGAAATCATATCATTTAACCATTATTATTTTATGATTCATAAGTGCCCCCTTTTGAAGCTCAGTGTGCCCTTTTCCCGACCCCACACTCAAATGCAGACTATTACCCAGAAGCCCATGCAGTAAAACATATAGTCAGAAGAAGACTGCAAGGGTTTTTAGACCTAAGCAACTGTTCATAAAAAATGCTATATTTTGTTTTATAGAAACCATATACATTGATCTAACCATTTTAATGTAGAGTCTTACACAAAATCACATGTACTAATGATTTTAATACAAACATCAGATCTCACTCTAACTAAAAACTATAATTTATTATGCTGTTTTTGTGCTGTTTAAACAGGTATAGAGGGTATGGAGTGTTCCTTGCCCACCGACGGACGCCGTGTGCCTCTCAGCCAGCTCTCCCAGGACAGTTTTCGGGAGTGCCAGATCACCCTCACCCTCACTGATTTCCTCATCATCATCTTCTCGGGCATCTCCGTCTCAGTGGCCGCCATCATGGCCAGCTTCTTCCTGGCATCCACCGTCCACTGCTTTCAGCGCTGGAGCAAGGGTACTAAAGGAGACGAGGAGGAGAGTGAAGAATGAGGAGGGGGTTTAGAGCTGAATGACCTTCAATCTGATTCAGAGCTGCCAGTTCCTGACAGAGTTCAAACAAACAGCGTGACTGAACAGAGACCAGGTAGAACTCGAGCAGAAATAACCTGATTGATAGTGTCAGCACTAATAAAGTGACTAGTAGAGACGCAGTACCCTCAAAATTGAAGGATATTTGGTATGAAAGCAAGCCTTAGTATGCAAACTTCCAAGGATTTACTTGTTAAAGGAAATTCTTTGTGATCTTGTCCTGCAGTAGAGTTTCAGTGTTGTTGAATACTCGTGTCCGTAGAGTTTCCCTTCATGTAGTCAATATAAAGTTAGCAAAATACAACTGTGCTACTTGTTGATTGTGTCAAATTAGCACAGGTAGACAGCGATGATTCAGACAAGCACTAATGATCGATGGTGAGGAATTATCGCTATAGAAAGTCATGCAAGGTAATGTTGCAGCTTTATACAGCCATGTATACATGATAGAAGCCATTTTCCTTCAAGTTTGAAAGATGGGAAAAAATAACTTAGACTTTAGAGAGATTTCAGAAAGCATTACCTGTAATTGAAAGTAGAGAGCTTAATGTGAATAGTCGTGTCAAATACTGCACTTTAAAATGGTCCTACCTGACATCGGCCCTCAAACCACCAGGTACACTGGTTCCACCCAGATCTGCCAAAGAATGCTTTGATTGAAGGACTGAGGTTAATGTGTTTTGAAATATAGATTTATTTTTCTTTAAAGAAAGTTTGTGATCTTAGCAAGATTACATTTATTTAGCGTAATTATTGTACTACTCACATATAATGATATATAATGTCCTTAATGTGACTAAAGACAATATCTATGAGATGGAGATAAGTTCATTATACAAATGTCATTGTATTATTCAATTATTTATGTCTTAAAAGTATATTTGAAAAGGCATACAGTGGGCCCAACACATATATGGGCATTTAAGTCGGACATTGCAATATGTAACAAAATACTGAAGCAAGCAAAAGATGCCTGTTTGGTTTAAAAAAAAATAATAATAATAATAATTATATAATATTATCAAAAATTTAAATTGAATTAAATATATACACAATAAAAAAAAATGGTAAAATGCGATTGCAACAAAGTCCCAGAAAAGTGACAAAAGGTTCTGCATTCTTCATTTGCTTATGTCACATACTTTGTTTTCTAACAAAATGATGTTCACACATTTTTAAGTGCCACTTAAGTGTCCAAATATGTTTTGAGGCCACTGTACGTTCACGTGTCTACAGATTGCTGTCTTGTGTCGACTAATAATAATACAGTGTGTAACTGACTGGCATACATTTCTGTTCAAAATGTCAGTTCCAAGAAAATTATTTTGTCAATAGAGCGTATGGAGAAAATAATTTTCGAATGTCAGAAAAAGACATTTGATTGTTTGTGTTTTCCTTTATGAATATTTCTATCAGTCTTGCTTCTTTCATATCCTTATTTGAAATGGCTTCATCTGTCTATAGAATTAGGTTAATGTCTTTTGCACAGTTTCAAGAATCGCATTCATTAATATCATAATATATCACCATCCTCTGCTCCATTGTTGCTGTCGACAGATGCTCTGGATGTACTATTCCGAGAATATAAAGCTCTTTTTCCCAGACAGGTATCACAACTTCATTTTGCAGTGCATGAATTATTAATTGGATGTGTGAAATGAAGCAGACAGTGTGCTAGCCTTCAAAAATGTTGGGGATGGAAAACAAATCATTGCGATTCAAAGACCATCTTAGTTTAAAAGAATTATATTCTGCTCACACAACCTCAGCCATCACATTGTGTTGGATGTAAAAAGCACGAATGCATATTAATGTAATGTAACTGTTCTGGTGTCAGGACACGGTTGACCCATATGCACAAACTTTCAAAGCTAGACTGTAGCATGTTATCATCAGCAGAACTCAAACCTGCAGCTATAATATTGTCATATTGAATGATTTTTAGTTTTTGTTTTTTTCCACATATATTCTGAAACAGCTGTTCAGTCAACCAGTAAAAAAAAAAAAAAAAAACTTTGTATTTGCAAGTGAAATGAGGCATTATAGTTGAAAAATTCAAATTAAAAACAAATGTTATAGACACTACTATGCCATGACAATAGAGCTGTTCAGTCATGTAAGGGAAACAGGTCAATAATTTAGCTCAAAGGAAATCATTTATCATGACGTCAGTTTTTTTTTTTGCAGACCTCAGCATGGCTTCCTGTTAGAATTTCGAATTGGTTTTTTAAATTGCGTTTTAAATAAAACAAGAAATATAAAGTAATAACTATAACGAGAGTAAACTATATGAATAGACATCAATGCATACACAGCCAAACCTCAAATGTGAAATGTGCAAAAAATAAAGCAAAGGTTGATATAAGGAGAATCAGTTGTTAATTAAGCATCTTTATATTTTAAATTGTTAACTCATAAATCAAAAACTGTTAACGTATTTGAAATTCCTGAGGGAACTCATGACCTGAAAGTTTTTAGTGCTACAAACAGAACAGTAGCTGATTTTGCACGGATCGGTTGAATAATGACATTTGCAATGACAAAATGCATCAAATTTCCATAATCAATACTTTCCTTCATTGTCTACAGTAGCAAGTAAAATATGGCGTGTTCATTGCTGTACCGTCTGTTTCTGAATTCAGTATTTGTCGTTTGAAAAGAGCCCAGAGCTCCCAGCATCAGTCATATCCTGTGTCATAACTGTGACACTGAGCGATGTAGTAAAGATGTGTGTTCCATCATATCGTGGAGTATATTTGTTCTCTGTCTTAATAACTGAACACCACATATACCTAGAAAACCAACTACTATGTAGTTACAGTACAAAGAAAGAGGGAAACATTTAATTGAGGGGTTTTCCTGCATGACCCAATGGCAACATCATCCAGTACTTTGTTTTTTGCTCCACATGGCAGTGCACTGTTGATGAAATACAATATCATATTAAACAGTAAACTATTTTCGACTGATCTTTTATTTCCTTACAATGAATTTTTTTTGTTTTTCATTTTTCTTATCATTCCCTTAAGGCATTGGTCTCAAACTCAATTCCTGGAGGGCCACAGCTCTGCACAGTTTTGCTCCAACCCTAATCAAACACACATCGCTAGAAACATCCAAGCAGGTGTGTTTTGGAGCTGGTTGGAGCAAAACTCTGCAGAGTTGTAGCCCTTTAGGAATTGAGTTTGAGACCATTGCCTTAAGGCTCTGTAAAACAGACATGTTTGAGTTAGACATTAATCTAATGGATTCATTTTAGGCATGTGAAACTGGGTTCTAAACACAAAGGAGACACCACATTTACTAATTTCATGCCCCAGTATTAACGCTTGTGACGTCATTCCATGGGTGATGATTAACTGTCAGGTCATGTCTGCAATCTGTCAGGACCACAGATAACTTCTCAGGGGCTTAAGGTCTAGATGCCCTCGGAAATCAATCACATCATGTTTGGTCTTAGATCTGCAGAATAAAATGATGAAAACAATATATTTAGTTAAGTTTTAATCTCTCTCTCTCTCTCTCTCTCTCTCTCTCTCTCTCTCTAACTGTCAAATATTCACCCATCACTTTAAGTCAATTGATAGGTGTTGAAATGTTATTGACTCCAAGCTTTGTGCAATTCTGAGAAAATCATTCACTCACCATGTTGTTCCAAATCTGTATGCATTTTTTCTTTTGAGGAACACAAAAGTAGATTATTTTCGAAAACATTTATGTGGTTAACATCGACTGAAACACAGAGTCGGTTCAGAAAATCTCTCCAAATATTCCTTTTCAGGTGAACTTTCCCTTTAAATCCAATAAACATATACCTTAAAGGGATAATTCACTCTAATATACAGTATATATACAGTATATGTTATTTACTCACCCTCGAGATGTTCTGAACCTGTATGCCATTATTTTTCATGCAGAATCTTCATGCTGCTCTTCCATACAATGCCAAAAAAGGACAAAAACAAGACTATTACAAGAGTTCTAATGCTATTCAATAAAAATTTAAGCCATTATTGACTGAAAATCATCTTTTTACTGTAGCTCTCAATTCAAATGTAGTGCTTGTGCTGCAGAATGAAATAAACTTAAAGGCATACAATTTTGTACTTTTGTCGGTCATTTCATCACACAAAGCTACTTATCGCTTCAGAAGACTAAACATTGCATTCAGATTTGAAACAACATGAAGCTGAGTATACTTAAATCTTTAGCAGAACTATTCCTTTAATTATCTATCTAAATATGAAACCTTCTGAAAAATTAATTTTGTCAATATGTAAACTGAACAGTTCACAACCTTTTTTCTTAAAAGTTTTCATGCACAAATGGATTATCGTCATATTTCAGTTTACCTCCAAGTCAGTGTTTGCATTCACAAATGATGTTTTTTGATGCAGATTACAGCTGTGGAGACTAAAAGCATGGTCCAGTTCATGTGACACAGGTGTTTGCCCACATTGCTGTTTTATAATAGAGCAGATGGTCAGCCCCTGATTTCACTGTTTAGATTTTCCCACATGAAAAAAACCCCCATAAAGTAATGGGTGGACAGTGACGCAAGTGTGATTACCCTTTCAAGAGAAGTGCCAAAGCTGTTCTACTTAAACCTGCAGTTAAAAAAAGATATGATGAGAACACTTAGGCAATGATGGGTGGAGAACCCTCCTGCAAGCATTTACTTCATTTGGTTACCATGGCTACAGGGCCATAGGCTTGCACGGTGGGATGCCGAGGCGTGAGCTTGGAGGGAGAGGCGGGAACAGTCACGGCCACAGCCTTTTACACTTGCTTCCTTGTCTGTCCTGCTCACACTAAGAGGAACTGCCATATTGGGGAGATTCGTGTCATCAGGTCCCGTCTCCTGATTCTATATTCAGCGCTAAAGAGCAGGTAGGGGCATCAGAGGGTCACCTTCAGCTTGGAGCCCAGTCTCTTCTCATTAGCTATGGTTCACATAATGGCACTACAGAGAAGTCTCTTCAGATTAAGATGGTGCTGACCTCTAGTTTTCACAAATGCACACTCTCTCCAACGTAGGCCTGATACGCCCAGGATTTTTTGCGCAAGAGTAGCCAGAGACATGAGATGCAGATTAAATCCGATCCTCTCTGTGTACAGTGGCACAGTGAGCATTTGTTTCATAACAATTAATACACTAAACCTTTTAGAGGGATATTACTGTCTGTTTACAGTAACGTCCCCACTTTGCATGTTTTTTTGTTTTTTTAGTTTGAACAAACCAAAAATATAACATGACAAAACAGTACATATTTTATATATATATATAAATGTATGTGTATGTATTTATGCACAACTGCTTTCCCTCAGCAAACATTGTGAAGTGAATTAGAAGTAAGATGACCTAGAAACCCTTGAGAGAGAAACAGCAAGGAATGCTGAAGAAAGAAACGGACACCTCTAGAGAGAGCTCTGTGCAAAGGCTCGCTGATCTTAGCTTAAACTTGAGGTAAAGTAGGTTTCTCCGGTTACTGTACTGCAGCCTCTGGGGCCTAAACTTGTACCTGCATCCTCATTTACAGTCCAGAATGCTTAAATATGGTAAGACTCTTTTCCCCCAGTTGTCACATTTATTTACTCTACCGTTCAGATTTTTGGGGACTTTTCTTCTGCAAGGATGCATTACATTGTTACAAAGGATTTCTGTTTTGGGAAGAAAAACAAATGTTTCCTGGTTTCCAAAAAATATCAAGCAGCACAACTCTTTTCAACATTGATAATAATAAAAAATGTTTCTTGAACACCAAATTATTACATTTGATTTCGGAAGGATCATATGACACTGAAGACCAGAGTAATGACTGCTAAAAATTTAGCTTTGCAAATCACAGGAATAAATTACATTTTAAAAGATATTAAAATAGAATGCGTTACTTTAAATTATAATAATATTTCATAATAT